AGCAAATGGAATAGCTTCATTTTCCCCAATCCCAATTTGATCGGTCGCATGCAGGGAGGGATAAGGGGGAATAGCGGTTGGGGACAATGATGCAGCAACTGAGAATCCCCGAAAAAGAGATACAGTCAATCTCCTGAGAAGTTGCGTTTTCCAATATCTCACTTTTTTTTTGAAAACCCAAACTGATCGTATGCTTAATGATGTCGTTTCTGACTTATGCGATATCGCATCCCTCACGATGTCACAATTCCTGATACGTCGTTGAACGTGTTCTGGAGGACCGCTGACCATCCACCCTGAACTGTCGCACTCAACCAATGTCATTGCACCTAGTATGACGCGTTCATGGCACTGTTCACTGATTTGATAATCTATGCGAGGAAGTCACACCGATGCAAGTGATCGGAGACAGTGTCATTTGACGTCAAAATGTGCAAGCGCCTAGCGATCAGAGAGAAGCGGAATGTGCTGGAAATGCTGAAACAGCCAGGTGCAACTCAGAACTCCATAGTCAAATCACTCGGAATTTCACGAAAAGCTGTCTGCAATGTTGTATCCCATCGAACGAATATCGGGGAATTTCGGAACGCTGGAGCATCTGAGGGAAGATGCCACCTGAAAACCAACGAAAAGTTCAAGGTAGTGAATGAGGCAACTTTGGCTTGGTTTACTGCTATGAGGGACAAGCACGGACAGTTCCCAATGGTGGAGAGCATCGTACGAAAGAAGGCAATTCAGTTAGCACACAGATTGCATCCTAATGACTTCAATGCTTCCAAAGGTTGGTTTCGCTCTTGGTCAGATAGATATGGTAGGTATTCAGTTGTACAAAGTAAGAAACAAGCAACTCGTGTGCATTACTTGATAGGTTTGTGGGGAAAGTTTAGCAGTACCACGTAATGCAGTGGACCAGTTTCGAGCGAGGTTACCGCAGTTGATATATGGATAAGCTGACTGTAATATTTTCAATGTAGATGAAAGAACTTTGTATTACAGGCAGCTCCCAGAAAGAACACTGAATCTAAAAGGAAAGAAAGTTTCTGGGTCCAAGAAATCCAAAGAAAGAGTCACGTTACTGCTTTGTGGGAGCATGCCTGGAGAAAAGTTATCACCTTTGGTGATCGGAAAGTTTCAAACTCCACAATGCCTCCGAGATGTAGATAGAAAAAGCTTTCCATGCAGTTATAATTCTTCAAAGAACGCATAGATAAATTCTACGTTATTTCGAAGTTGGCTGTTCGATGTCAACCGCAAAATGGTTTCTCAAAGGCGCTCTATTTTACTATTTATGGACAACGCTCCTTGTCATAACCAAGCCGCAGTATTCTCCAATGTCAAATTGGTACGGCTGCCTCCGAACTGTTCTTGAATGTTATAACCAACGGATCAGGGAGTGATTTGGTTTTGCAAATGTTCCTTTTAGAAACATTTACTGGAATATGTTTTGTCTTTGAAGATGAGCAACGAATCATGAAAGCGACCGGGGGCATTCTCATGGCCATGCATCTGGTCAAGAAAGCTTGGGTGTTTGTGCACCAGCACGTACTGATCAACGCTTTCATGAAAGCTGGGTTCAAATCCACATTGATTCGGCCGGTGATGCAGGCACTAGAAGATAAATGCGATTTGATCGAGGACTTTACTCATTACGTGTCTATTGATGACCGTCTTTTTGAAGAAGAAATTGTCTGTTTAAAATTTGATGATGAAGAAATGGGTTATTTAAAGTTTTTGAATCGAGTCTCTTCTTTCAGTCATTTGATAAATTCGTTTCGAATCAAGCTAAGCATAGCAAAAAAGGTGAATGTGAGGCAGTGATTGCACCGGAAGTTATCTCAAGCAGAGAGGTGCAGAAGTTATTGGATCGATTGAAGCTGTTTGCCTTGGATAATGCTCGGAGTTCGGGTCGATTATTGGATTATACAATTGATTTGAACAGCACATTTGTTGATTTCCAAAGGAGAGCCAAGCTGAAACAAATGACGATTTGTGATTTAGCGAAAAATACATCTTTGTAATCTGCAAAGTTTTGTTTACAATTTTGTGGGGCACTCGAAACTGGTCATTTTTTCTAGTGGCCACCAAAGTCACAGGTCATTTAGTCCATGGATGGGTTGCGTCGCACTAACGTGCAAACCGGTGAACGATATTCGCGACTGACTGGTAAGCGAGTGAGTGGAATGATATATCAGATCCGAGCGATCGATAAACACCGTCGCGCGGACGCGCCTGTGTGAATGAATGAACGATACTCTCACTTGTCCTAGAACACCGATGAAATTAGACAGGTCACTTGCTAAAGGTTTAAGGACAGTTTGTGAGGTGCACTTTTAGTTTATGAAATGTTGATTGCTTGAGAGTTGCCGTAATTCCTGAAGGCTGGCGTCTATGGCCTTCGGTTGGTTGAACAGGAGTGAATTTCCTCCAAGTAAACTCCCGTCTCACGCCTGCCAGAAAATTTGCGCGAGAACCCGCATAGAAAATAGTGCGCGTATCTCAGATGAGTCAAACGTTTGCGCAGTGTCATAATCGCGTGAACATTTTCATTCCGCATATCTCACATGGCGTACCGTTCCACAACTGATTCTCCTGTGGTGATGCTGTACCAACACTTAAGCAGCATCCGATTCAGAACTTATCCTCCAATACCGGCCCGAAAATCACACGACAGATCGGGTCCATTTATCGATCGATCGGATGGGTCATCGCAACAAGAGATCTGGTGCTTGCCCCCCTAACCCGAGCGAGAAACCACACCTTGTCTAAAACCGTGAGTCTTTAACAGACCCCCGTGAACTTCGGTTGTAAAGCAGGCGTGCCTTCACCACACGGATGGACTGCATATGACAACAAGATCATCACAAAAAGTACAAGACAATGTGAAACGATGGAGTAATCGGCCTATCTTACTATCCACATAGCAACATGACACATTAAAACGATACTCAGACATCTTAAATTGAAAAAAAGGTATGGCTTATAAATCACGTTAAGGCATCACGTGTTGAACTTAGTCCGACCAATAACGGTCACGATGAATGCATCAATCGGTTGGAAAATTGGTTAAAACAAAAGCAAACGACTGAACANTGATACATTTTTTTCACTATTTTTCACTAGAAAATCGTGCATAGATTGCACAGCAAACAATCAGCTTGAGTATGGGAAAGAAGTCAATAATCTGAGTATACTCCGTAACAGATATTCCACTCATTTTGAATGTTATTTTCTTAGCACTGTATTCGAACTGGTTCACCTTTGTTTGCCTTGAATGGGTTAATAAGGATGTGATTATTACAGGTAAAACAGTTGTATATTATGGTGGACATCATATAATCAATTCTGTGGTTAGTCTAACATTGCAACGAAATGGAGGAATATCTGGAATTAATATGGGATAATTGAGTTAGAAAACGTTCCCTTGAAGAAAGGCAGGTAGTTTCGGGATAACTAGACACATAAAACTGAAAAGGTCTGAGTACTGCATGTATTATACCGATATTAAGCTTTGGACGTTAGGAAATGTCTTCGATACACAAAAGATGCGGGGGACGGTAGATGTAAATTTCGTTATAAATAAACAGTTTATAATCATAATTATAATTATAAACTAACGGGAATAACCTACTTTTCATCGATCCGGTTTATTTTGTCACAAAACTGTCAACCGATTGTTATACTACTACCGTTTACTCTGTTGTGTCGCACTTTTTCAAATTCCCGGATGGGGGGGGGCGTGCGACATAGCAGGAGATTGACGGTATAACAAAGTATAACGTGTCGCGTTGCGTCATGCACGAGAACCAATATTGCGATTTTAATTAATTAAAAATAAACAAAGAGGCATGTGATCACGTGTTGAGCTGTATGCACTTACCAAGAATAACAATAATCGATCCAACGGAATTATACGCCAGGAGACACAAAATGAACACAATGCGTCCAATGTCTGCGAACAAAAATTGGAAAGATGGAGGAATGACTCATAACGAAAAGAGGGGGGGGGAGGGAGAGAGGGAGGGAAGGAGGGGAACCAAGCATAGTCCAGTCATATTGAGATCAGATACACAAGCATTAGGAGTAGATGTGTTGTAACAGGGCGACCGTTGGCACAGGTTCTCTGACAACCATTGTCGAAATACACGGTTTATGAAGCCATCTAATAGCGAAGAAGAGAAACAGTAATCGTCTTATCAAATGCAGCGCTAGGCTAGGAACCCTTAAGTCTGATAATGGAGAAACTAAAACAAAAAACTCTGTAAGCCCTGTATTTGGACCTGCCCCCCCCCCCCCCCCAGTGGTCACGTGAGGGCAGCAGTTACGGTTCGAGATGCTCACGAAGCCGGTTCATCCATTTGTAGCAGATAGCCAGATCAGTAAGCGAAAAGACACTGACAGCTATACGGGTTGCACTGACCCCAGAAGACTAAAATGGGATGTTTCTGTGGGGCAGAAGCTGTACCATTGGGGCAAGTTTGATACGTGCTGCTTATCAACATCGGTGCTTGTGTACTGCATAAATACGCCGGGTTGAACACTGACGACACCTGAATAAACATGAATTGGCAATAAGGTTCAGCTATAGTATGAGGTGATTGGCACAATGATAACGTACACACCTTCCATGCAATGGGTTTGGAGTTCCAAGCCCACACGGGATGGCAGATATGCACTACTGAGGAGCTCTAATAGCAGCGAAACTCGAGTCTCGTGCTTTTGAGTGTATCGTTGAATCGATAAACTAAGGATTGTGCGTGAAGGTGAAGTCCGAAGTCAGTTCAAATCCATGAATATTATTAGTAAAGTAAAGCCGACTAAATTCGCTTTCAGTGAAGGTCCAACGTTCAAACCCCACCAACGCCACCCAACTTTGGTGGTAGGCAGCTTTGCTGTCATCCGGTTCAATACTACGATTAACCTGGTGGGGCTTTATGTGGTTCCTAAGAGCATGCCAGTCCCAGATATGCTCAAAACTGTCCCGGACAAGGTAAGGGGGCAAAATTCGCGAACAAACTGTGTATCTGTGTGTGCAGCCTTAGCACACCGATCAGCGCTGGATGGTGGGTGAGGGTAATCGGACTTGATTGATCATTTTGGAAGGGGAACAAAAGCGTTCCCAAAAGTAGAGTGTGCCAGGGTACAACTATGCAGTTGAATATTTCGAAAAACAAAGAACTACTAAGACATGAAACACTCACTTTATTGGCCATGAGTTCGTCCGGGGCACCACCACCACCAGCACCAGCAGTACTATCCACGGAGCACGCAACCACATAGTCACACAGCGTGCGTAAACACGCATTGATTGTGCTCATAGGAAGTTTAGAAAGGACACTAAACAGAAAAAGGAGAATGAATGTAAAGCAAGATGGCTTTTCAGAAATAATTTGATCACAAGTGGAAAAGGCAACTAACAGTGGGACAGAAATTATTGAAAATCGGTTGTCTCAACTCGGGCAAACTGAATTCTATTTCGCCTGTTCGCCCCGAGCAATTGATAATTTGTGAAGTGGCAGTCTTCTGCATCTATCTAGTCATTTATAAACTTGTTCGTCTCCACCGACCATGTTCGTCCCTTGTTCTCACTCTGTCCGACTCGGTTCGCCGTTAAGCTGATGCGCGGGTTAAAGGTGGGAGGATTTTGTCGTTTCGTCTCGATTGCGGTTTCGGTCCGTTTTCAGGTCACGGTGAGACCTCTTTTTTGTTGTGTCATTTGATCCTCGATTTGCATTGGCGTGATCCAGTTCGATGTACCTGTTGATTGAGTTGATTGAAGAATGTCAAATCTCGGGAAACTCGAGAAACGAACGCAAGCACAAGCAGAAACACTGCCACTTCACAAGCACTGATGATGTCACCTCGGCTGTGGATGAAACATTCGCAAACAAATTGCCAATTGCTCGGGAAGAATAGGCGAAATGGAAGTGGTACAGAACTGACATTAATAGTATTCGTACTGTAGTGATCCGAGATAAACACAAGCACATTTTGACTGATATGCACACGTACGACTGTTTGCGCGATTTCCGGAAATCCGAGCATAATTGGTCGTAGTGTTGACCCCAGTCGATTTATCAATACAATCTGTACCCCATCTCAAATTCCAGTTTACCATCAATGTAAACACAAACATGGTCTTACCGAGAATAAGATGGGAGTATATGTGCATTTGGAACCAAATCATCAGAGGGCAGTTCAAACGTAATCATTCTTGCTACCAACCGTTAATACACAAATACACATGACGGAAATCTGACCCACTCTGTTCTCAACCCCCCTAGCCCCGGACTTACGCAAGAGCCAGTTTGGGTACGACATTCTGCACGGCCAGGAATCGCAGTACGACGCTGTAAAACAAGGCAGACGTACAGTGGCATGTTCGCAAGAGGTAAATCGAATCGAATAAAAATGAAATTTATAAAATAAATGAAATTAACAGGACGTTTATGCTTCGAGGATAACCGGCATAGCCATGATACCCGAACGGACAGGACGACAATCATCCCAGGATTATTGCAGTTATAACAAACTGGAACTGGATGAGATTGTGCGAAATAGAGTGGGTGATTTATACAAACCTTCTTCGTGCTCACTGAAATCCCAAACAGATAGATGCAACATTTGCCGAGGAAACCCTATTTCCTCTCGGTTCTCCGGTGGTGAGGGCTTTGGTGACCGCGGTGAGGGTCGTTTGAAAAACTACTATGCGCAGAGGTGATTATCACACGAGCGCCTGGGGGGGAGGGGGAGCTAGATCATTCGTTCGCGACGGTCATCGACCCCTTTAGGCACCACGGACGAGTGGCTAAATATCTGAGCAATGGTCCCCAATAAATTGCAATATTTTTGCACTATCCTTAGGGTCAGGTTGTGGCTTGCGGAAGGTTCCGGTTGTAGATCTCTAAGAAAATCAACTGTTATAGCTTGTCTGCGGTTTCGTATGCGGGATCAATAGCTTTGGAATTCTTTGTGCTAGTCTCCTTTACCTCTATCAGTCAGTTACTCATGTGATCGAGCAACGAAAAAGTGAAGAGCGGTAACCAGATTAAGATGGACAATTTGGGTTAGCTGAATGTGCGTAGTAAGCGAGTGCGGGCATGGATGTCGCTGTTTAGGATAGAGGTCCATATCACCCGACATCTTTAGTCATTAAATACTGTTTGATGACGTCTCCTTTTAATCGGGAAACCTGACGCGGGAATCAAGCGAGCGTATCACTGCCTGACCCCAACTACCTAACACTTGTCGCTTGTCCGGTATCCCAATAGATCCGTGCAATGCGGTGTAGCCATCTCTGTTCAGAAGTCAATAGTCCAAAAATGACTATGTTCCTGCACCATACAAGATAACAAACAATGCTTTGGTTCGGGTAGCCAAGAGGTATCAGGCCCACGAACAAAGTATGAATCATTGTATTAGTCATGAAGATGCGTGCATCATGATCCATCCGGTACGCAGACTGGACTCAGTCGACTGTGAAATATAATCATAGCATATGATGCCAAAAAGGTAAGTTTGCTATGCAACCGGTGATCACAATTCTTGCACAATCGATGTGTAGAGCCTGTAACGATGGCATGTGAAGAGATAAAGTAGCCCAGTTCGACTGGTTGTCCAGTGGTTAAATAGAAGG